AGCACCACATAAGCAAAAAAAAAAGCTGGAAGTGGTGCTGTGGCTCAAGTGGTAGAGCGCTAGCCTTGAGCTGAAGAGCTGAGGGACAGCACCCAGGCTGAGAGTTCAGGCCCCACGACTGGACCCCTCCCCCCCAAAAAACAATAAAGTTGTTTCTTGTGTTTTACAATTGTTTTAGAAATGCCTACATTAATTTCAATTTCTCTTTTCAATACTAATCTGTATGGAACTTGAAATAGGCTGAAAATAATTCTTGAGTAGTTGTGTATAATACAAATATTCACTCATTTGGTAGTATGTTCATATTTTAGCATTGTGACAAAATATCTGAAGGAGAGGGGCTACCTTTTTATAAGTCAGGTAATGAGTACATTTCTGCTTTTGGACAATGTCACCCTTCCTTTACTTTCCCCTAGTTTTCCCCTCCCATGGCAGTCCACAAGTTATATAGGTCATTTTCCACATAGTGTATACTGAATAGCATATTGCATTTGCTCACTCTTCCTCTTTCCCTTTGTATTTTTTGTGGAAGGTATCACATTATCATTAACACAGATTAAATATAAAATATGCCTATTATGCGCAGTCATAGTTACAGCTAGTAAAAGTATTTAGAGAAATGACAAAGTTAGGCTGTTAATTATGGAGAACTGGATCCAGGAAGACTCTCACCTTTCATTTGGTGCACGAAAGTTTTCACAGATAACATAAATCAGTGTGTGTTACTGCTAAGGTAATGAAAAGGAATGTACTAGGACACGGAGAGACTTGAATGACAAGTAAGAAAAGGGTGACTTTTCTTAAAGAGAAATGAATATTCTCATTGATTGTCAGCTAGCAAAGAGAAGTTCTAAAACAACTGCTTAGGCAAGAAGGCCTGATTGGGTGAAGATGGGAAGAGGTTAAAAGATAAGAGTAGAAACAGTGTAAATGCTGAGGAACATTTCATGAAGAACACAACAGATGGCGCTCTCATTTTCAACAAGGGCCGGTGCAGGAAATTACAGGCTGCCAGCATCGTGATGTGCCTCACTGATCACCAATCCTAACTTAGCTTCTTATTATGTCTCTTTCCCAGACCAGAGTTGTGACCTAAAATAATTGTCGACTCAGGAGATTCTTCCCTTCAAAACCGAACAGCTTATCAACAGCAACAAGAAAAACTGCAGGAAGGTAAGACTTTATCATGAACTCATTCCCAAAGTTATCTTTTCCTCCTTAGTAAATATTCATGTGACTTTATGTTGTCATGGAATATGAAGGGAGCCACTGAGGTATAGCAGAAAAAGAGAAAGAGATACGAAATCTCCCTTTTGGCCACTTTGGTGCTGGCAGATATAAAAGTGACAGCATTAAAAACGCGGAATAGGAGTATTCTGTATTCCTGGACTCTTCATACCTCTTTTTGTAATATCCACTCATGTTTACTGACCTAAGGAGAAATTTGCTGTTTTCCTTAACAGAGGACACATGACAGGGTACAGGAAAGCTTTTCCAAACTAAAATTTATAGATAAATGCTTCACTGCTTTATTTGCTTTCCGAGTGGATGGGTGGGGTTGGGAGAGATGGGAAAAGATTATGGTGGGAGGGGGGAGTACTGATCAAGATGAACTGTACTCATAACCTGACATGTTGAACAGATACCTTTTTGTACAACTACTTAAAGATAATACAAATTAAAAAACCCTCCAACAACAAAAAAATCTAAATGTCTGTTTCCTTTGTATACCTCTCAGGGTCTCAGCAGCTCATCTAAAATGGGATAATTAAAAAAAACATATAATTACATGACAGTTTACCAACAGTTGTATGTTTGGATAAGTTATACGAGATGGTAAATATGCGCTCACTCCCATCTTGTAAAGTAGTAGTGAGGAGCTAAAAGTTGCAATGTTTTAAAAAACAACTAGAAGAAGTTGGATTCAAAATTGATAAATCAATATTGTAGTTTTAGCTGTGATTGTAAAAGGGAACCAGGAAGAATTGATGCCCTAAGTATCAAAGTAACACTGTTACTTCTACTCCTAACTGGGAAAAATTGAGAGAAGGAGAGAGGGAGGGAAAGAAGCAAAGAGCACAGAGAGAGAGGGGGGGAGGGGGAGAGGAGGAGAGAGGGAGAGAGAGAGAGACAGACAGACAGAAAGACAGACACATAGAGAGAGACAGAGACAGAGAGAGACCGCCAAATTACTCTCCTCTAGGTCTTCAACCTTCTGTTAATATGTCTCTCTGATTAAACACAACTAGGAGTCAGATTAAAGAGATACTTCAATTATATATAAAGATATCACCTTCTAGGATTCAAAGGAGGAAAAAGAAGGGTGGACAAATAATAGTAAATGGAAAAAATTCTACAGTATTTTCATACTTTGTAGTTCCTGGGACTTTATCTCAGATATCAGGGATCTATTACTGTTTTTTTTCCTCAAGTTTTTTGACTGTTTTTTTTTTTAACCTCTCCATGTAGTGTTTTGTCTTTCAGATGACAATATTTTTATCACGATAAGTAACTTGAAAATTACATGGTAGAAAATGGGAGTGTGCATCTATTTACAAGTATTTTAACATTATTTTATGTTATAATAGCAACTTAAGAAAGTTAGCCCTGGACTGGTGATTTCCAGATGTCAGATGCCATGGGCATTACTTTCTAGTTATTATTCTTCATCCCTGGAGAGGTGTCATCTTCATAGTCCTCCATGGCTCCTGACTACACTATTAATCTAGCCTGGGTCCCATCAGCTAATCTAAAATGGAATAATTGAAAAAACATATAATTACATGATAGTTTACCAACAGTAGTTTGTTTGGATAAGTTACACAAGATGGTAAATACGAGCTCACTCCCATCTTGTAAAGTAGTAGTGAGGAGCGAAAAGTTGCCATGTTTAAACAAACAACTAGAAGAAGTTGTCAGGACTCAAAGTTGTTAAGGAAGGGCATCAACCATGAGTTGGTTGTATCACTTCTTCCTACCTTCCAGTTGACCAGTGCCATGAATAGAAAGGAAAATTTGGACTAAGATCCTTGTTCTTTCTTCTGTTTTATAACTCTCAGTACTATGTAAGAAAAGTGGAGTATAGATGTTTGGAGACATTAACAGTATCTAGATAATGATTCGTTCTCATTTTTCTATAATGGAAATTTTTTTTTTGTAGCTCCCCACATAATGAACAGAGAATAGTAAAAAAAATCTAGGGCAGGGTGCCAGGAGACAAACATTAGCATTGGACTGACTCTTCACTGTGTGATCTTAGATATGACTTGTATCCATTAGATCTCCAGATTTTTCTTGTGATAAATTAAGATCTTATGACAAATGGTATGTGAGATATTTATGGTAGGGGTTGTCTGTACCCCACATAATATGTACCAGATATTTTTCCTTCTGCCTCATGTGGTCATGACCTGGCTTAGGATAGTGAGTGGGAATGTAGGGATAGTAGAACATTCCTATGTCAATATAGGACTGTGCTGCAATAGAGATAACCCACATTTGAAATGAAACCAGGACTGGGCTTGAAAGCGAACTCTGGGGCTCCCCGGATTCTGATATATGATTTAATCTCGCAAACCTCCTATTTCACTCTCCCGCAAAAATAACGTGTTATAGTAGTTCTCATGTAGCAGGATGTCCTAAGGGTCAGAAACCATGAAGAGGCACTCATATCTAGTTTGTGCTCTCAGAGGTCCCAGTGGAACATTTCAGAGCATAGCTACACGCATCCCAGCCTGGGGAATGGAAATCACAACAATCAACAGACGTGACCAAGATTTTCTGCTAACTGATAACAGGGGGACCGTCTTACCGAGTTTGCTGAGTCTCATTTTTGCCCTAGTTGGACTGGCAGGAAATATAGTTGTGCTCTGGCTTCTGGGCTTTCCCATGCACAGCAACACTTTCTCCATGTACATCCTCAACCTGGCAGGGGCTGACTGCTTCTTCCTCAGCTGCCACATTTTAGGTTTCCTGGTGACACTCATCAGGTTCTTTGGTTCAGTAACTATCTCTGTCCCAAGCTTCTTAACCACTGGAATGCTCTTTCACTATATCACAGGCCTGGGCATTCTCGGTTCCATTAGCACTGAGCGCTATCTTTGCATCTTATGCCCCATTTGGTATCAATTCAATCGCCCAAAGTACATGTCAACTGTATATGCAATCTGCTCTGGGCCCTATCCCTGATGCTGAGCACTCTGGAAGGAACTTATTGTTGTTTCCTTTTTAGGGATGATGCAAGTAGGTGGTGTCAGATGTTTGCTTTCACTTGTACTACCTGGCTGACGTTTTTATGTGTGATTCTTTCTGAATCTAGCCTAGCCCTACTAGTCAGTATCTTCTGTAGTTCCAGGAAGAATATGTTGACCAGACTGTATGTTACCAACCTGCTCACAGTGTTGGTCTTCCTCCTCTGTGGAATGCCCTTAGGCATCTATCTATTGGTTTCTAGTTTTCTGGATTCAGAATTCAAACTCATTAAGTTGGTACCATCTCCAGGTTGTAATCGTGCTGTCCTGTGTTAATGGCTCTGCCAACCCCATCATTTATTTCTTATTTGGCTCCTTTAGACATCAGCTGTAGAAGCAGACCCTCAAGCTTCTCCAGAGGGCTCTACAGGACACTCCTGAGAGAGAATGTAGCGACAGCCTTCCTCAGGAGGCCCTTGAGATGTCAAGAAGCAATATGGAGTAATAATTGATGGCCCCTCTGTGGCTGGATAGATGCGGCTTGAAAGCCCTTTTCAATTAAGTAGTCTCTCTCCCTACCCTCTCTCCCTCCCTCCTTCCTTTCTTCCTTCCTTCCTTCCTTCCTTCCTTTTATCCTTCCTTCCCTCCTTCCTTCTTTTCTTCCTTCCTTCCTTTCTTTTCTCTGTCTTTCTTTCTTTTTCACAGGTATTTGTTTAATAATTTTAAATTTCCTCACAAGGTAGTCAAAGAATTAAGTCTTTATGATATTGATTCTTTTTCTTTCTTTTGATTAAGACATTTATTTTGAAATAATTGTAAATTGGAATCCACTTTGAAGAAATGATACCAAGAAAAATTATGTACTCTGACTTCTTCAAATGGTAATCTGTTTGCAAAATGATAGTTCAATGTTATCGTCAAGATACGGATATTTGGCAGTCAAGATACAGATCAACTCATCACCACAATTGCTCATGTTCCAAATTTTCAACATAATTCACCCTCCTCCTTCCTGCTTAAGACTGTCCCTATCTCTTGACAACAACCAGGTTGTTCTGCATTTCTGTAAGTTGATCACTTCAAGAATAATTACATAGACGGAATCATGAAGTATGTTATATATTTTTTATTTTTATTTTATTTTATTTGTGAACATACTGTTCAGAGGGGTTACAATTACATGGGCAAGATAATGCATACATTTCATGAAGTATGTTATATTTTATGTTGACTTTTTCACTCAGTCATGTTTTCTTGAGATTGTGACTGCATGAATAAGAAATGGTTTCTTTTGTAATGCTGAATACTCTGCCATATGGTTTATTTCTAGGAAATGACAAATTTTTTTCCAAAGCATTTGTACCATCTCACATTTTCACTATTGATTTTTGTTTTTGTAATAATTTTTAAAATAAATATGTATTTAATTTTTTATTGTAAAGATGATGTACAGAGGAGTTCCAGTTACATAAGTTAGATAATGACTACATTTTTTGAAACAGTATTACCCCTTCCCTCACTTTCTCTAAGTTTTCCTTCAACCCCACCTCAAAAGTTGTGTAGTTCATTTTCAACATATTGTCTAGAGAGCATCACTGCAGCATTTGTTTAACCTTGTTAGCTCAGAAGCCATTTCTGTGCTCCCCTTTTCCCTACCCCAAACAGATTAACTTACATACAAGACAAAAGATTCTGAAAACAAAACCAGTGACACAGGAGAAAACAAAAACAACAATGAAAAAAACCCCTCTTGGTTCCGTTTCTTGGAGTTTGTTTTGATAAATACCATTTTATATGGTCATATAAATAGTTTTTCTCAATCCTGATGGTGGGAATGTAAATTGGCAAATTCTGGAAACAATATGGAAGTTGTACAGATAATTAAAAATAAACCAGTGATCTAGAAATCTCTCACTAAAGGTATATACCTAAAGGAAATGAAATTCATAAATTGAAGCAACATTTGCATCCACATACTTATTGCTATCTACAACATCCAGGTAATGAAAACAATCTAACTGATCACCAATTGATAAATGAATAAGGGAGAGGAGGGGGATGAAGGGGAAGGAGGAGAGGAAGTAGGAGAAAATGCAGTCATAAAATTCAATGCACATCCTACAACATTAAGAAAAGCGAGAGAAGGAGTTGAAAGGAATGGAGGAGAATGTTGAAAAGGGAGACACTCATCAAGATGCAGTTTTCATAAACTGCTTTGTTGAATGGTAGCTCCTTTACAACTACTTAAAATAATAAAATATATTAAAATATGTCTATGTATGAATATTATATGTGTGTATTCATATATACACATATACTCACAAATGTGCATGTATACATATACACATATATAAACGTATAAACATATATACACATATGTATGTGTATATATAAACTATTCAGTCATAAAAGGAATTAAAAGGAATGAAATCTTGTCTTTTTTTTTTGCCAGTCCTGGGGCTTGAACTCAGGGCCTGGGCACTGTCCCTGAGCTTCTTTTGCTCAAGGCTAACATTCCACCACTTGAGCCACAGCTCCATTTCAGACTTTTTCCGTTTATGTTGTACTGAGGAATTGAACCTAGGGCTTCATTCATACTAGGGAAGCACTCTACTCTAAGCCACATTCCCAGACCAAATCTTGTTACTGAAAAAAAATATGGTATAACTTGGGATTATTATGTGAAGTGCAATAATCCTGGCACAGAAAGACAACAGTGGATGATCTCATTCACATATGAAATGTCAAACAGTTGGTCTCATCAAATTTGAAAAGAGAAAAACTGATGATCAGAGACTGGGGAAAGTATATGGAGGGAGGAATCAGAAAAGATTGGTCAAACCATACTAAGTTATCATTAGATAGGTGTGAGAAGTTCTGGTGTATGATTTCATATTAATATGTCTATAGATAACAATAACATTCTTTTCATGTCACAAAGTTAAAGTATTTTAAAACTTTTCACCCTAAGGAAGTAATGAATCTGGTAAGTTTAGCCTAATTTAAACACTGTACAAGTAATCTGGTATCCAAACATCACATAATACTCCAAAAGTATGTGTACTTTCTATGCTTTAGTTAAAATGAATATAAAATTGATAATACAAATTAATGATGGTTATGCATAAGTTTTAGGTGTACAGTTAATCAGTTTTGTGAAATGAATATATCTATGTGACTCAAAATCCAATTATGATACAAAACAAGCACATGCCTCTTTTGAGAATGTCATGATCATGGTACTAGTCTGGTGTAGGTAACTCTGGGGCTGAGCTGTGAGACCCAGAAAGGATTAAGAGGTTGGAATGCTGCTTCCATAGTACTCAGAAGGCTAAGACTGGACCCTGGGAAGGTCAGGCAAGGCAAGGCAAAAACGAATGTGTAAGTTACTACCCTAAGTTTGTTTAAGTTAGAGCTGTTTGGACCCTAAAAGCTTGAAACCTTAGTAATAAGATGAATGTTTATGTTACGGTAAGATGTTTACTGCTTCCCTCTGCTCTTTAATGATGAGGAAGTCAGTTATCACTAAGTATTCAAACTATACCTCATGTTAATGATTGTAACCACAAGAAAGATTGATACCCAGCTTTCTGCAGGTACCTATAGTGATCTCCCCTGTACTGAACTAAACAAATAAACACGCTTATGAGAGCTCAGGGTTCAGAAGCTGGTGGATGCTGAACCCTTTGGTTCCCTGCTCTTTCCCTCTCCGTGTCTTTTCTTGTTTCTTTGAGGTATCCCATCCTGTTGTCCCACGTTGCGATTAGCAACAGGTCATACAGTGAAGACAAGTCCAGAAGGCTTCTATATGGAAAACGTTTTCTGACTCTTTTTTCTCAAAGATGCATGTGGATGTTTTTAGTTGTGAAGTGATATGACAGGCAGATGAGCCATAGGCTCAGCACTTTTGGGAGCAGAATGAAAACAATTGGCTGGATTTTGCCCACTGATAATGCTACCTAGTATTTTCAAGAGTATAAGTCAAATCCATAACACTGCTACAATAAACCAACCAAACAATTAATAAATAAATCAACTGAAGCTTCTCTACCCATGTCAACTGTGGTCAGTTCAGTTCTTCCTTGTCATACAGAGCTAAGTGCTGAGAATTAAATCGAGATCAAGACATAGCCAAAAAATCAGTGCAAAGTCCTGATTACATTGCCTTCTAAAATCTAAGTTACATGCACTATTCATAAATGATTTCCAACATACTTTACCTTGAAATCAATACTGAGACTGCAATGAATGTCTGATTGGGATTTGTCCCATGTGTTTCTAGAATTTAGATGGTTCCAAGTTAGAAGTTAAATTGAGTAGTTTGCAGAACTAAAGGACATGCATTTTATTACCTGAATCGAAGACCAAATTGTCAACATGTCAATGAAAGTATCTCCAGCAATAGGACATTTTATTTCAGAGACATTATGTCATCAAGTATACATTTTCCAAAAAGCCCAGTGATCTAATGAAATATGAACTTATTCTCTCACAAATAACTACATGCAACAATGCCTTAAACACAGTACATATTATGATTCCCATTGGAATATATAGAGAAAATTTAAAAAAAATCTTGAAAACTACAGGATTTTGCAGTGTATATGAGAATTCTCTCTACTGATGTGAAACTAAAACTAAAACATGCTAAGAAAATGATAGAAAAGTAACAGAACTTTATTCACATAGAGTGATATAGATACTCTACCTTCATACTCATCGCTGAGCAAAGCAGAAAAAACTGAGATAAGTACATTTATTTGAATATACTAAGGAATTACAAAGATACTTCAGAGATATGGACTGAGATAAGGGCAGACGACTCTCAACTGTGTTATGGCCAGAGTCATTCACAAAGGTATATCTATGGATGAGGGCAGAAGTTGTTTATCATTGCTCCATTCCGCTTCCTGACATCTCCAGGGTCCCCTGAGAAAAGTTTCCTATGTATTCATCTCTTCAAGAGTATCCTGAAGAGCCCTCTGCAGAACTCTCTTAAGGGTTTGCCGCTTTCACTGTTGAAAGGGGCCAACAAAGAAGCAAATGATGGGGTTGGCACAGTTAACAGTGGCTAGTAAAAACAAAAGCTTTAAGAGAACAGGAGAGGGCATAGACATTGCTATAAATCACAGTTATTAGGAAGGAGCTGAAGCCATAGGCAGGCTACAGAAGATGAAGACCAGCACTGTGAGCAGACGGTCACATACAACCTGCTCAGTGACATCCATCAAGAGTCACAGAACATCCTTATAGTCAAAGTCAGGCTGGACCCTGAGAGAATCACAAATAAAAATGGCAGGTATCCAGCACTAGAAAATCTAAATAACTGACATCAATTCTAATAACAAAAACCATACCAATTTGAATAGTAATAAGCTGGAAAGCAAGAAACGACAGTGATAGTACCCAGACCAGCACACACATGAAGGATGATGCATGTGTTGGGCGGTGGCACTGGTACCAGATGGGATGCATGACAGACAGGTACCGCTCCAGGCTAATAAC